CTCGACAACCGGTTTCGTATTACATTTCGATTCAATTTTTCTAATATAAATATCTCGGCGAGTATTTACCCCCCTTTGAAATAAATGCCACCATTGAAATCCTCACAATATAACCTTTCGAACGGGGGGTCAAGTGCCGTCAAAACATTACACAAACCAAAACAATCATATATTTATACTCACAGCTTCGCCAAACATTCAAACGGGAAAAAGAGAAAAAGTTGAATATATTCTAAAATTTGGCGTCCTTTTCTGAAAGGATATATGTGCAAAATACTCTTTGTATTCAAGCGCTTTAGTGTAGAAAGTTTCGTGTGAATACGGCGAGTAGAAATATTTATTTTGAATTTTTCAAGGTATCGGGTTTTACTCGCACGCACTTGTATTACGTAATACTTGGCCAATAAGGAGCTCCCTTTAGCCGGGATGACGTCAAACTCACGCGTATGGGTGCACTTTGACCTGTAGAAGCCATTTCTGGCATTTCTAGAGTCACGCGATACAAACTACGCATTGTTTTGACGGTTTTTCGTCGTATTTCCGGTTTGGGATTAACGCAAATTCGGGCAGAAATGCAAAATTCGGCAAGAAAACTCACGTTTTAACGCTAGAAGCTTGAAAATAACACTATACGTGTTATTTTTAACTGCTTCATTGACCAAGAATACAAGAATGAGCATACGTCTCAAGGGGCCGAAGTTATGTTCGGCGAAAGGTATGTCTATGTTTATAATTTGTTAGTAATATTGCGTAATTTGATCATATTTAAGCCCGTTTGACTTTCAAAGCTTATAAATCGCTACAATGTAGCCAGTCACTAAAACTGTCGTTATAAATTAGTATATATTTTTATACTGAATCGAATGGCGGTATTTTCATCGACATAGCGTGTAATGAACCGAAGATATAAACGAAACATCCGTAGAACGTGCACGTTCTACGCGTAATGGACCTGCTGCAAAAGAGTTTTAACAAACTAGAAACATGCGCGCGATGAAGAGTTTGGTGCGTGCTGTTTACGTACGTATTAAAAGAAGGCGCATGCTTGAGTACTGGTAGCTAGTAGTAGTTTCGTTTTCTGCTTTTTTCTGGAAACGTCGTCTTCGTGTTTACATTCCATAAATTATATGACAACTTTTGACAACTGGGCCAAACTGGGCCTATATATAGGTTTATTAAGACTCCGCCGGGAACTACAGGTGGCTGCACACAGAACTGCATGACTATATAGGGTCAATATAGCAAGGCTTCCCGAAATAGCATATCATAAAGAGTGTGATTGTGCTAAACGACTAAATTTGTGGAAGTATATATTGTTGGAAGACGTTGGGCCTCCATTATATGATACCAGACTCGCTTTATTCACTAGTTATTGACGCACTATTTTTTACCGCCGTTCTTCAGAGGATGCGACCATCTGATTCTTCCGCATTATAGCTTTCATTTTCGTAACAAGTGAATAATATAAGTTATTAGGCCTCATTCAGGAACTAAGCTCTAGAGACTTAGAGACTGCAGTAGAGTAAAAGTTTGATGCATGAGTTGTTCCAACTATGTTTTAACTTGAATAGAATACATGATAGTGTTGGGAATAATGGAAAAACATTAAGAACAGCTAATTAAAGTTAACCAAGGTTGCGTGACTGCCAACTCCCATGCACTCTCATTCTCGTTTGACCACCAATAGACCCCATGATGACGTCACATGATTACAAAGTAGCAGAATTAAAGCACTTATTGAGTAATAACCTTTGGATTTGCTCATAATTTGGTAACCGCTTGACAGAAAAACTGAACAATTTACAGAACTAGCCCAATGCTCTGCCAACTGACTGAGCTACGCAGTCAGGTCGGTTCGAGTATGTGATATTTCGGAACTGCATGAGTCTAGTTCCTTCGACATCAATGTAATCTAATAATCATGATTTTTTGTGTTGGTGTTGTGCCGGTACTCAGGTGAATATGATGTTTTCGCGCGATGTTACTCTGAGTGTATATCCACACCGGGCAGGCTTGAAAAATATGCCTGGCCACGGTGGGAATCGAACCTACGACCTTTGGAATACTAGCCCAATGCTCTACCCAACCTCGTTCCCAGGCTCTTGCTCTACCAACTGAGCTACGCGGTCAGGTCGGTTACGTTCGAGTATGTGATATTTTGGAGTCTATAGTTCCTTCAATATCAATGCAATCTAGCATTAATCATGGTTTTTTTCTTTGTTGGTGTTGTGTACTCAGGTGAATATGATGTTTGCGATGTTACTCTGAGTGTATATCCACACCGGGCAAGCCCGAAAAGTATGCTCAGTTGGCAGAGCATTGGGCTAGTATTCCAAAGATCGTGGGTTCGGTTCCCACCGTGGCCAGGCATATTTTTCGGGCTTGCCCCGTGTGGATATACACTCAGAGTAACATTGCAAACATCATATTCACCTGAGTACACAACACCAACGCAAAAAAATCATGATTACTAGATTGCATTGATATTGAAGGAACTAGACTCAGTTACGAAATATCACATACTCGAACCGACCTGATCACCTGACTGCGTAGCTCAGTTGACAGAGCAATGGGCTAGTATTCCAAAGATCATGGGTTCACTTCCCACCGTGGCCAGGTATATTTTTCGGGCTTGCCCGGTGTGGATATACACTCAGAGTAACATCGCAAACATCATATTCACCTGAGTACACAACACCAACACAGAAAAAATCAATTTACATAACATTACAATAGCGTTCCAGTTATATTCATTTCAATGGCCATACCTGGAAATGTAAGGCACCGCGTGTTTAACTATATACAGCTCGCCTTCGTGTTAACCACTGTGTTTAACTATATATAGCTAGCCTTCGTGTTTAACCAGGTAACTATATATAGCTAGCCTTCGTGTTTAACCGTTGTGTTTAACTATATATAGCTAGCCTTAATTCACGTTTAACCATTGTGTTTAACTATACGGCTCTGTGGCATAGATATCTTATATACACTAAATAGGACTGTAGAGGAGAGTGTCATTCATTCATTCCTATATATGGCAGGTTACGTGTTACGTTACGGCGGTCATGTTAAGGCCATTTTCCATTGCAGTCGCTTTGCCCGCACGGGTGGAGCGACCAATTTTAATCACGTGAAAAATCAGTCGCCCGGGCACGCCAAGAAAGTTGAATGTAGTTCTACTTTCATGGCGTGTCCGCGAGCATTGATCAGGCGGACAAAAAATGCACAGGTTAGGCAACTACAGAGAAAGTTGAGTAATGTTCGCTCCGCCCACGCGGGCAAAGCGACTGCAATGGAATTGAAAATTGCCTTTAATTGGTAGTGTTCAAACATACTCAAAATTTCCATATTTGTTTCATATTGTGTTATGTTTTAGACTTAACTTTATCGAGCTATAAGAAATATTATATAATTTAGAATACTGAGGTCTATACTTTATATAGCATACCATACTGTGTCTGTTTTTCCATGGTTACATCACTCGGTGCACCACACTGAGCTGTATAATAATAGTAATATAGGATAGCTCAGTGGTGCACCACTTCAGCAAATTCTGTGAGCTGAAATTTGTTATCATATGCAGTGCTCTGCATGGCCTCGTATACCCAGGACTTTTCAGTGCCTCGTACCCAGGGCTTTTTGGTGCGTCCGGCATCTGGCTACCCATGTCAAATCTAACGCTTAATCGCTTATAGTCTAAATATATCCGAATAGGCCCTTTACATAAGAGCTGATAGAAGACCGGGGAATGAGTGACTGGATAATATGAAGCAAAAACTATTGGATTTTTAAAACAGTAAAAAGACAATGGAAATCAAAATTCCGACACAGCATGGTGACTATATTGCACTTACTACTTCATATTTTTATATGCGGAAGGTCTAAATGACCAGAAGGAAAATATGGCGCACAATCAGGCTATGTTCGGTCTTATTGTAAAAAGCAGAGTATCCGGCTCAATACAATAGCAGCTTGTCCGTTTTAATATTATTAGACCCGTGGCTTCAGTTAAAGAAAGTTCAACTGAGTTATATTGTTTGTATAAAATATGGCAATCATTATAGGGTTTCTGTGGCAATTAAAGACTAAACGTCAGCAAACTGTGCAAACTTTGTCAACAATTTCCAACCCCTGACTGTTGTTCGTGTGAGATAGATACAGATTCTCAATTTTCTATTTTGATTGGCTAGCAGCCAACGGAGTTTTAGCGTCAGTATCACTGTATCAGGCCATATTTTCCCTTCCAGCTTAAATACAGGCTAACACCTGAGTAACGGAGAATTCATCATATCAACTGAATGGCTGACCATTCAGTATGTCGATGTAATAAACAGTCTTACTGTGGTGTATACATTGTACACAAAATATATTATAAACATAAGGCTTAGAGAAAGGCTACATTAACGTTACACCCCCACACTGGCCATCCACAGTGCATAGTTTATAGACAACCTATATTAATATGCACTGCAGCAGAAATATCGGGAAAAGCATTTAGATAAAAGTGGAAGTATTTTTCGATTCCAAGGTTCAGTTTCGCTTTAGATGTTTGGATAAATTGTGTAAATATATTCAGTAACTAACCCAAAGCGTATATCCGAACGAACTTTATTTGTCCGGACAAAAAATTGCCCGCGAAGCCGTGTAAATGGGGTGTAGATAAAAGGCGGACGGACGGCGGACGACGGACGGCGGACGACGGACGGCGGACGACGGATGGCGGACGACGGATGGCGGACGACGGAGCATTTTATAAACACATGGTTACTACCGCAACTAATTATAATACCCTAAATTGAAGTATACCAGCCTTAGATCTGTGAAATGAATATGTTTTCACCCGTTCGAATTTTTAGCAATGGAATTTTTTAATCAGCATTCAAATGATTTAATACGTATGTATGATAGGCTATACGTTGTCTTTCTCGGGAAACTTTTGGAAATATTGTAAAAAAGCGCCATAGTTTTGGAGCTTCTGTTAGGCAGAATTAAATGACATTCACTTGCTGACATTTTCATACTTTAAATAGTCATGACTTGTTGTTTTATAATTAAAATAATCCCCGTTTTACTTATAAACCGAAGAGGTTCACACGTAGAAATGCCGATTTGCATGCGACTATATTCTATATATGGATTTTAGAAATATTATATATTAGGGGCGAACCATTTGATGAGGTGGATTTTCATTCAGCCCAATAATTTTTTAAACCTCCTAATGCTGCTCGATATTTTTCTGTCGTTCAAGGCTCTTGAACGATTTTTTTATTTCGTGGGCACATATTATCTATTATATAATACCTTACTGAATTCTGATCGCTTAATTCGCTGTTTATGATCACGTGATATTGAATAGAAAATTCCATTTCCCAAGAGTGCAATGGAATACGTTCCATTGCACTCTTGCGAGTGCAATTGTACTATACGTTTTATTCCATTGCACTCTTTGTGTTTTCGTTAAATCGCATCCGTCAAAATGTTTCTCGTACGGTGACGCTGTTTATTTTAACCCGATATTCGAAACTCAATAAATGGGAATGGGATTTAATGCAAATACGACTCGTCAAAATGGCGGGAGCTTACAGTAAACCTTTTAATATTTGTCTATTTTGGTATTATATAAAACAAATAATGAATGTTTTTATTCGTGCAATGGAACAATGGAACATTCCATCTTTCACCTCATGAAAATATTCTTACCATTGCACTCATAAACATTCATTATTTGTATACTATCTATGTAAATGTCACACAGTAATCAGTGTAACAAGCTGCAATTTGAAAAAATGGGCATCGTATTTTAAATATTGGGTATTCTATTACTAGAGAATGTTATAATTCCGTTCTAGTATTAAATTATCATCCTTTCAATTTCAAAGTTAGAGATGTCATCAACAAGAATTTGCATATTTTGAAAAACGACCCTGAAACATCTTCCTTTTTCTCCGATAAACCCTTAGTCTCTTTTCGACACAGTAAAAATATCCGTGAAACCCTAGTCCATAGCTCCCTAGCACAGGCTTTGACGTCACAAAAAGGCACTTTTCCTTGCTTGTCGTCGAAATGTAAAACCTGTGATTTTCTACCACTATTGTTTCGGCACCTAAATCCGTTTTTCACATAAAGCACCATTTCACGTGCGCCTCCTCCAATCTCATCTACTGCATCTCTTGCAGCAGATGTGGCATGCGTAAAATTGGGGAAACTGGAAGATCAACCATGATTTTAGAAAATGGGACCAATCGCCCACTGAAAAAATTCACTTAAAATTTTGTAAAACTTATCTTGGAGTAAATCGCAAGGCAACTAACATAGCTTGCAAAGGTGAATTGGGTAAATTTCCACTTCTACTCCCCATATTAAAGACACTAATGAAATACATTATCTATATTAACTCTCTCTCTCTGACGCCTCTTTAGCAAAACAAGCTTTTCTTATATCCAAAGATCTATATCTAAATAACAAATCAAGCTTTTACTCCAACGCAATACACATACTTAAGACCTATACAGTACAAACAAATGATCTGAATGAGCTAGAACTCTTAAGTAACTCGCATATACAATCTTATCTAGATATTGCCAAAAGTAAATACACGACTTTCTGGCAACACAACTTGAATAACTCATCCAAGCTATCTTAAACTTTCTACAGCACGTTTAAAAACGAATACAAATTAGAAGATAACCTCATAGCAATAAAAAACCAACGGCAACGAACAACACTTAGCAAATTTCGTATAAGCTGCCATAAACTATACGCATTGAATGTGGTCGCTATCAAAACATTACTCGTGAGGAAAGAATTTGCGAATTTTGTGAATCTGGTGAAATTGAAGACGAATACCATTTCGTCCTTTCATGTAAAAATAATGCTCAAATTAGAAATATTCTTATTGAAAAAATACAAAGAAATTTTGCGTTGAACCTAGAAGGCCTAGAATGCCATGTTTTATTCTTCATGTCATCTAGTGATTCTATACTACAGAATGAATTTTCAAAATTCATTCATAGTTGTTTCATACGACGAAATGAATGCATTGAAGCCAGAAACTCTTGAAACACTACAACATCACGAACAGAGTGATATATCTTCAATACACTAGCCTATAAAATAATTCAAAACTTGTAAATAGATAAAACTTTATTTTTTTATATTTCCTTAACTGTTATTGTAAAAAATGCTTTAGCAATACCTGTAAATTTTTTGGGGTCATGCTAATAAAGCTAATTTAAAGTAAAATAGTAAAGGAAGATGTTTAAGGACAAGGTTTGGTGAGCATCGGTGTGCAGTTATTGGCAATGATGCTAACCAACCTGTTGCCAGACATTTTAATAATGGCAATCACAGTGTTTCAGATATGGTAATTCGAGCCCTCTGTCCCATTTCTGGAAGCAACGATAGCCGCAAACAACACGAAATGCGCCTCATATCCAAACTTGGCACTGTTCACCCTTCTGGTATTAATGAACGCTTTTCCTATATTTGATTCCTTCTGTCCTTGCCTGTCTATAGCAGACATTGACAACATTTATCTATTTATTACTTTTACCTTATTCCCACTTTTGTTTTGTTTTGATTTTTTATTATTTGTAGTAATTGTCTTAGCTTCCTGTTTATTTTTATATTATTTTTATATATTTTTTATTATATTATATTCTGTAATGCGATTTACATATTTTGTTTACACTTTGTTATGATTATAAAGTGGTTTATTTTTTGTCACGTGATGCTTTCATACTCTTAGTATAAAAGCCCGTACATTTTCCCCGATCCCTGCTATTAACTCTTGACGAAGGACCTTCGCTCGAAACGTCGAGTTTCTGCTTATTTTTTAAGGTAGTAATATAACCACTCACCACAGCTTTTTAGTAATGTGTAATCACTCACATGAATGGACCTTGGCTACGTGTAGCCTTTTAGTACGTAAGTAAAACGGGGATTATTTTCATTATTTAAAAAAACATCATCACAATTTAAAGTATGGAAATGACAGCAAGTGAATGTCATGTAATAGCCCCGCCTAATATTTTAATTCAATGGCAGTGTTAGGGCAGTTATATACAGAAGCACCAAAACTAAGGCGCTTTTTTACACGGCGAATAGCCTCCTATCATACATACGTACTGAATGCTGATTAAAAAATTCCATTGCTAAAAATTCGAACGGGTGAAAACATATTCATTTCACAGATCTAAGGCTGGTATATGTTAATTTAGGGTATTATAACGTTGATTGGTCAAATTTGACGTATTAATCTGTTATGGTCATCTACAGGTGAATATAACAAAACCGACATTTTCAAAATGGCGGCTAGCTGTTTTGTGAAAGTTACTGATAAAGAAATAAGCGAAATTAAAATATATATTCAGTCCCAAAAACACAAAAGACTTGTGTAAAAATACTAAAACAAATATTCGCCTCAGGCTCGGTGATTAATCACCGAGCCTGAGGCGAATAATTGTTAAATAAAATGCTCTGCCGTCCGCCGTCCGCCTTTTATCAGTCCGCCTTTTATCTATACACCAGTGTAAATGGGGCCTAAGTAAAAATATTATTGCACGCTATGACGTCATACACTAATGTGGCATACTACGAACAGAAAACAAAATGGCTGCATTAGCACCTTGGATACTTCAGAACAGGGAAATTAAAAAAACAAAAATAAAATGAAAACCAAAACAGCGATGAAAGGCTCTGAAATGTTTCAAAGGATCATTATTTGGAAGAATTTTTATATACATGCATGCAGGTGTCAACGCCTTTTACGGATTTGGAATAAGTAATTAAACAATATGAAGAATCAGTTATCAAGACGCCTTGATAATTCTTCATATCAAGCAATGTCACGATAGCTATTGACCATAACAAGGCTCAACATCATTCAATAATTGTAAAATGTTGACATGTACAGTTCAAGAAACGTATGGAGGCAATGGAGCTAAAACTAAATCAAAGTTAGACATCGATATCCCATACAATAATATATTATTTATTCAGATAAAGAAATCAACAAACTATTACAAGAGAACAATACATACACAAACATTCATGCTACACAATCATTCATACTTTCAATGTGAGTTCAAAACAAATAATAAAACACTGTTTAGTGTATACCTTTAAGGCATGTTGTATAATATAAATACATTCGTTTCATAATATATAAATTAAATAGTTAGTGATAATATATATTTTTATTTGTGAACTCATTTTCTCGCGAGTATACCACCTTATATATACATGGATAAAAGCAGACATCAATCTTACCGCAATCTACTGACCATATAAAAATTGCTTCTACCATAAATCCTCTACTACTGTAAGCTCCTCTCCTCCAGGGGCAAGAGCGAAAATCCAGGCCAACATATGTAATCTATTATTGATTCAACATATACTGCAGTTGTAAAATATTTGTAAAATATATATTCAACAGTTAAACGCTAAAGAAACGAGGGATTTATTGTGTATCTCATTATGTATGCAGATTTTCAGGTCGTATGGTTACGTCATTACCGTATGTCATATTTATCTTGAACCTGAGGCCGGCAACTTTTTGTCAGCATTAATACGTTCGCTTGAAACAACAAAATAACGCAAATTTCTTAAAAAAATAGATACAACAGACCTTGGGTATATTTTCTATACTGTTTAGAGTGGAACGCGTTTAGAATGAAAGAAAGAAAAATCATGAGCGTGTCGTGGTTTTATATGTGATAAAAAATCATGTTAATTTACATAAACTTTAGCTTTGATTTTCTCGGTTTAGACAAAGTTTATTTAAAAATTACTTCGCCAATGAACTCGTATAAGATGAGTCGTTTTTGAAGCCATTTAAAGCACGCGTAGGAGTGTTTTATCACATATAAAACACTCCGCTACGCGTCGTGTTTTATATGTGATAAAACACTCCTACGCGTGCTTTAAATAGTACTTAAATTTCTTAAAAAAGTGCTTTTTTATTTTTGTTGTTTCACGCGAACAAAAAGTTCAAAAAGTTGAGAGCCTCAGGTTCAAGATAAATACGACATGCGATATTAATGACGTAACCATGCGACCTAAAAAGGTGCATACATAATGAGTAACACTAGTGATCGCGCGCTCGATAGCAGAAGCACTTTAAACACATTTTTAAGTGTTTAGCTGTAGAATATAGGTTTTACAATAATTTATTTTGAGGATAACAGTAATACAGTATATTTGCTGGGTTGCCTATGATTGCAAGATTGCATTTTATATAAATTATCCTATTTGTATTTACATGCAGAGAGTTTCAACTTTCAGTACATACGGTACACGTGGTCGAGTTTTATATTTCCAAGAAACCTGGTTTCATGTCATTCTGGTTCTTCTATTCGTATATTTTTTGTCAAAAATTTAATTGACTGTCAGAACTCAGAACCATTTCAAAGCTGAATGAGACAAGGAATGAGAGTTTGAGCCAAATGAAGGCATTTCAACTGTTCGTTTTCTCTCGTCCTTGTTTAATCACCGATATTGTAGAAATGCTAAAACGTGCAACAAGTACTATATTAAATAAACCAACAAAATACGATCACATACGACACTTCTACATACGATACATACAGCGGGTTAAATTTCTTTAGTATCATCTTGACGGTGGTACATTTTGTGTCTGAGGTGCCACGCGATACTTCCACACGCCGAGACGGTTTGAAACTGATGAATAACATTACGAGGAATAAAATAAATATCATTGTCTTGGAGTCGAATTCTTGAATATCTGATTCCTTCTCGTCTTAACTGATTCAGTTTTGCTTCGTCTACCCAAGCCACACACTAAATAAGAGACATTTCATTTTAATTATTTTTGACAATAAACGAAATCGTGATGTTTAGAGATTACAAACCATCGGTACCTATATTTCTACTTCGGCATTGCCCTTTGAAAATCCAATTCTAAAACAAAAGTATGCTGACATATTCTTGACTTTGACTAGCCAGAATATTGGTGTCACCACGTGATTCTAGACAGCAAAGGTTTGTTGTTTTCTTCCGTCAAATATCAATGGCTTATAAGAATATGATTCATTATAGAATAAGAATATGAGCCATTTTATCCACTAACTCCGAAACTTCACATATCTCACGTGGTAATACCATGCACAAAGCATTCATGGGGGCTTTTTGAAACACCCTGCATATGTATGAAAATGTCCTGAAATGGATAATTTTAACTTGAACTTACATAGTTACATGTTAAAGATTTTTCAATTACAGAGGTTCAATGTCAGTGACCAGTCATGGATTCCGATTAAAATTAAAATTTTTATTTTTCAATTTATTCATAATATTACAGAAGCTGGTTCATTATTTTTTCGTTAATAAATTTATTAAATTATTATTATCACGATAATGAGCATATCAGAATGTTTTATGTTTCGATAGGTTGCGACACTTTAAAAATGCTGCATATGCAGAATAAGGTACATTATTTTCCCACCAAAATCTCTTTGGGGCCATTCACAAAGGATGTCCGAGCCGAGGGGGGGGGGAGGGGGGTTTGGAAAATCAGGACAAACTCAGACATAGGGGGGAGGGGTTTTTTTAGCAATCCGGATGTTCGAAATTTAAAAAAATTCAAAAACAAATTTCTTTTTCCTCTATTTTGAACTCTCCCTCCCATTGTGAAATTGGCATTTTGACTATGCGGTTAATACTAGATTTTGTTTTAATTAGTAATTTACATGTTTTTGTATTCACATTTATAGTTATAAAAAAGTTCTAAAAGTAAAAAAAGCTTTTTACTCTTGACATATACAAGGTTGCGTGAGTTTTTGCGAGGCATGGCGGATGTCCGGGGGGAGGGGGGCCACTAATTCGGACAATGCCGGACAAGGGGGGAGGGGGGTCTGAAAATCCATCATTTGGCCGGACATCCTTTGTGAATGGCCCCTAAATGTAAGACGGGTAAGTCTATTATGGTTCGTGAGGTTTTCCTTCTAAATGCTGCGGACGATATCTGGGGCCGGTTGTATAAAACTCTTAATCACTTTTTTAATCACTATTTTGTAGTTAAATAGTGATTAACTCTCAAATACGCGCTTCTTCTTGGATGACGTTTCCACTAACTATAGTTAACTTTATACAACCGGCCCCAGATGTTTTCCAAAATCAAACACATTTCATAATGCTGAGATTATGATAATGAAGAGGTTCAGTGCAAAGAGACGTAATAATGTCTTTCCTCACCTGTGAAAATGGAGGTTCATGTAAATCCAACTGAAGAATTTGCGAAACCCGAAAGAAATCTCCAGCATGAAAGGCGACAACATCCTTTACTTCACGATTTACTTTTTCAGTCCTGTAATTAAAATAAAGGAAAGTCAGTCACGCGTCTGTTTGAACCAAAAAAGCTGCTGAACCTATAAGTGAAAATACTTTCAAATAAAATAAAAAAGCGTGCAACTTCATAAACTGTACTTGATTTGCAGCTATAATTCCACACAGCAATGAATCAAGGGGACATAGAAATAGCTGATACTGAAGGAATCAGTCATGTATATAGTACAAAATTAGTATTTCCATGAAACAGAAAACTATCTTCAATACAGGAAAAGAGAATGGTCCAACAATGTCAATGTGAAAGGCGGGATGCTTGGGGGTAGGAGAAAGTAAAAAAACTCAAAGATTAATTAGATTATTGCTTGAGCCTGTACAAGTATGTGTATATCTGTAGTACATTGCACAAACACCACGAATTAAGAACTAGAATGGAGAACACACAAAGAATATTGTTTTTATTGTATATACAGCAGACTCCAATACACCATGAAATAAGAAATATCATACCTGTCATCAGAACTCTGTACAGCTTTGAGAATCGCAACAGCTGCTGTTGTTATACGATCTGGTCCCTGACCCACATGGTCAGCATGACATCGAGTTCGGTCTTCTACAAGAGACTCTCTCGGAGCTGATGCTCGGGGAAGATAATGCAGGTTATGAACTTCGTTGACAGATACTCTAAGAATAGAAGCTCAATACTTAAATGAAGAAATAATTAGCGCAAATTTTGTAATTAAATAAGACTTTGTTTGTGTTGAAAATTCAACTAAAATCTGCAAAGACCACTTTATAAGGTAAGTGATACAAACGTAACATGTACAGAAGTTTATATCTAGCCAATGAGGTCTAGCAACATCGCCAGCAGGCAAAGTTGAGAATTTTCTCCATAGTATTCAGGCATTGCGACAGTAATGAAAGTTAAGGTAAAGGTTAATTGTAGTACTGTATTTTACAGATTTACAGAATATTTCAAATCACAACGCAAGTTCATAATTTTTTCCACTCACGGTTACAGCAGGTGCATCTTAAGCCGGTTTTCCACTTGCGAATTTTTTCCCGCGAAGCGAATTTTTCATTTGTCTTTGGTCTCTCAACTGGAACCATCTGGAACTAATTGGATAAAGACAAAAGAAAAATTCGCTTCGCGCTAAAAAATTCGCAAGTGGAAAACCGGCTTTAGTGTACCATACTCAATCGAAATGGAAACTCGGCAAAGCGTTAATAATGAGCTACGGTTTTATGTTGAGACGGCTTCAACGTGCACAAATCTTTTAAAATTTTGCTTATTAACATTTCAACCGAGTACGGTTGAATGATTCAGAGAGGTCGCGACGCTATTGGGTGATTGCTTTATCGTGCCAAAAATTCATTTTCTTCACCGTACACAACTCTGCATAAACATGAACTGGGGCCGGTTGTATAAAAACGTAGTTAGCGCTAACTGCAATTAAAAAGCCTTAAAAAATAGTTAACTTTAATCACGTAGTTAAGCCGGTTGTATAAAAGTGTAGTTAGCCTTAACTGCAGTTAAAAAGTAGTTAAAGTTAACTATGCTTTAGGGTATAGTTAACTGTCCAAAACGTAGTTAAAAATGGCGTTTATATAGGAGTGAACAACATTTTTCAGTAAAACAATAATGAAAAGCAACGCTTACCTGAGATTTTCAATCGCTATCTTCCCTGTGAATGTTTCCTGACAATATAAACTCTTCAAACGCTATCGCTTTGGTGTTTTTACGAAAACAGAACATATTTTTGCACAGGACGATTTCTCGAAGACGAAGTATGGTCCATTACACCAAGAAACACTGATATATAATTGCCAAACAGCTATACCTTGGTTTAACGTAGACATCTCAAAGAAAAACTGCATTCTTTTATGATTTTTGTGGCGGTTTTTCCTATGGCGCGTCACCGGTGTCAAAAATGTTATTCTATTTTAAGATAAGATTTTCATTTTCATATAACAATATAAATTTTGGATAACACACGACTTTTCATATAACGCTATAAATTTCGTATAACACACGATTTTTCATATAACGCTGTAGATTTTGGATAACACACGACTTTTCATATAACGCTATAAAGTTCGGATAACACACGACTTTTCATATAACGCTATAAATTTCGGATAACACACGACTTTTCATATAACGCTATAAATTTCGGATAACACACGACTTTTCATATAACGCTATAAATTTCGGATAACACACAACTTTTCATATAACGCTATAAATTTTGGATAACACACGATTTTTCATATAACACTTTCAATTTTGGATAACACACGATTTTTCATATAACTTTAATTATGATCCTTTGCGAGCTTACGGGCTGCTAGAGCACGTGGGCAAGGAACTTGAAATTTTTATAGTACATGCACATGTTTTTATACATCGCTGAATTTAAAATCTAAATATTTCGCAAATCCTAAATTATGACATCCTCTCGTGGAAATATTAGTGGGAACACAGCTATAGGGAACTTTTGAAAAATTGTGCTAGTAATCTTGACGAAGCGTCGCGATTGTTATTAAACGAGGAAAATCCTCAGAGTGATGGTCGGACAACCACTGTGAAGTACGCATGACATTCAACATGACATTCAACATGATATTCGATATGGTGTGAACTCACTCATTTCAATTACTCAGAAGTAAAAATGAAAAATATAGCCATTTCTTCTCTTCCAAATGAATTAGAAAGAAAGAAATCATACAGTTCGTATTGTAGAGAATATAGAGACCGACGTTATAGAGACTGACGTTAGCAAATATAAATGGCGTGGACGAGCGTTGATCGATAGTTTTAAATCCGGACACTACAGGAAAGTTGTAAGACTGTTAATATTAATATATCTTAAGAAATAAATTATTACATTGGTGGCAGCGGCAAACAAAATATAAAGAATGTCTAGCGCTGAATTACTTCAAGAAATTGAGATACTTACCAAGCGTGTTGAGGAACTGGAGAAGACAGAAAACGATGCGACGCCATCGTCGAGTTTAAACCTGCCCGTGGTTCAAGTAAATAATCAGAAAGCAAAGCCAGATAACTACTCGGACGGCCCGTGGAACGAGTGGATTAGTCACTTCAAGCTGTGTGCTCAGATAAACAACTGGGACGACACACAGTGTTGCCAACAGCTAGCTGTTTCTCTTCGCGGTAGAGCTCAGCGAATCTACTTGACGCCTCAAGATAACGAGAAGACGTGTTTTGACGACCTAGTGAACGCACTACAGTCTAGAATTCAGCCAGACCAACAAAGGAAAATCCACAAGCTGACCTTCAATGCGAGGAAACGAAAACACGGGGAGAACATTGTAGATTTAGCAACTGATCTGCGACAACTCGCTGCACTGGCGTACCAAAACAAGGATAAGTCGCTTGTCGAGGAGGAACTCGTTGAACAATTTATCCGTGCCCTCGACAGTAAGGAACTACGTATCGGAGTGAGTCAAAGTGACCCAAAATCTCTCGATGAAGCTGTAAAACTAGCGTTACGTCTGGAAAGTATTCATTTGGCTGAAATGAAAAACAACAACACCGCGAAAATCAACATGGCGGGAGACGAGCGAGATACCGCTGGCTTCGACATGGCGGGCGCGAGAGATAAACGAGATACCGCAGGCCTCAACATGGCGGGCGCGAAAAAGGAAGATCAATCAACACCACGATGGGCGAAAAAGTACTTTGATCAACAAGCGGAACTGATGGATAAAATGAGTAAATTTCTTGTGAACAAACCAAATACGGCCTCATACCCAAGACGTCAAAAGGGAAATAGCCAGTGCTACCGTTGTGGAAAATATGGTCACTTTGCACGAGAATGTCAATCGCAGAATCAGGGAAACGCCTACAGGGCGGGCGCTTTATAGAGCCCCCGCCCGCGCCGAAACGTGTTGAAACCGCTGAGTTTAGGAATAAAGGCAAAGCTAGTGCAACAGACGACGCCACAATATTTGTGAACTGCCGAGTTAACGGGTACTATGTTAAAGCTTTGGTGGACACTGGCGCAGCCGTGACTATCATGCACGAGGATTTACTGGCGCGAGTACGTAATAAAGGAACAGAAGTGAGACGCGCGACAAAAACAATCGTGGGTGCGAACAATACGCCTTTAAATATAATTGGAATTGCCGAGATAGACATTTCAGTATGCGGGAATTCAGTAACTCATGACGTTTTAATTTGTAACGATTTAGCACAAGCAATGCTAATTGGAGTAGACTTCTTAAAACCTCATAAGTGCATAATAGATTTCGAGAAGAATACATTACGAATAAAAAGAGAAGAAGAAACATTGTCTTATTCAAACGAGCGTAAAGTATGCCGGGTTGCAATTGCCCAGTCTGTCGTTTTGCCAGGAAATTCAATGATAACTATTGCATGTAAAGTGGAGAATGGAACGATTCAGAACAATAAAAGTGGAGTTCTTGAGCCCATGGTGCGATTTGAAGAGCGCTATAAAACTGGAATATTGAAGGTTGC